AGCCCAGCAACATAGCCATTATGCCAACTCCCTATTGTGGTTTTATAAATAGAAGAACTGAGGTATAGTAGCAGAAATGGTAACAAAGGCCATCAGCAGAGGAACACAGGTGTTGTGCGAGCCACAATAGGCATGACTTCCTGAGGAACGCATTTCGACTGACTTTAACCAGAGCTTCATATATAAAACCCCCATACTCAATGGTTTCTTCTTTTGAGAGCACAAGCTCAGTCTCTGATCTAAGGCATACTTAAGCACCTGCTGCTGGGAGGTGAAGTAGCTGTATTTACTGAGACTTCTTTTGGTTGTGTTTGTAGCCGTAACCCAGACATACGGTGGCAATTCCAATGGGGAGCCATGTGTCTTACCATTCACCTACAACGGCAGGACTTTCTACTCCTGCACCACAGAAGGGCGGCAGGATGGACATCTTTGGTGCAGCACGACTTCCAATTATGAGCAAGATCAGAAATACTCTTTCTGCACAGACCACACTGGTGCGTATCCCAAAGGGAAACTACAGCAATGAGGAAAACTCACCTCTTGTGCCCTATTTTTGTGAGCTGCCTGGCTATTTATTAATTTGAGACTGCACTTATAAACATCACTTTTGTTCAGTTTGGACCCAAGAGACATGGAGCTAACTTAGCATTTGAAGTTCCTGCCAGGTTCCCTAATAACATTGGGAAATGTTTGCTAGGGAGAAATCCTCCTGTTCATTTATTTTGACACAATGGTATTATAATGTGCTTAAAGATACTTGTGTATTAGAGTTAGGAGTTGAGCCCATAGAGCTGAATAATACACAGGATTGATATTTGAATGCCTTTGTATATCTTCTAGATAAAACTGTTTTATTTAAAGCTGTCATTTGATTTGGGGGGTGCTGGGAAAATGAGACTGAAATGGGATTTAAATTTATTTTGAAGGTGAAGGTGAATACATTAAGAAGCTTAGAACTATATCATCAGACATTCTTATTCTGAGCTAGGCACTCTGAATTAGCTGCACAAACCTGACTTTTGGAACCTTTCTGTAGTAATGCCACTGTGTACCTTGGCAAACTCAGTTGTAAATCTTTTTCTTCCAATTTGTGTATTGTTCTGAGCAGTTCTGGTTCAAACTCGAGGTGGAAATTCCAATGGTGCCTTGTGCCACTTCCCCTTCCTGTACAACAACCACAATTACACCGATTGTACTTCCGAGGGCAGGAGAGATAACATGAAATGGTGTGGAACCACACCGAACTATGACGCTGACCAGAAGTTTGGATTCTGCCCCATGGCAGGTAAGATCAAGTCCTTGTGGGTTGCTTTTGTAGATAGCCATTTAGATGGTTTTAGGGACAGAAGATTTTAGGTCTGTTGACTCCTATATCACCTAGTAAGACAATTTTGAGA